TCTCTCTCTCTCTCTCTCTCTCACACACACACACACACACACACACACACACACACACACACACAAAGAAATGCTTTTACATAACTTTGGCTCACCTTAGAAACCACAATGTGAACTGGAAGGACTGAAAATACAATAATTGGGAGGTCTGATTTGTACTCCATCTTTTCCCATTAAATTTCATCCTTTCTCTAAGTCCAAGTCTTATTTTCTCCATCTGTCAAAGGGAATTGAGCCAGGGGACCCCTAAGCAGTCATCTCCAGCCTTAACATTCAGTGCTCTGAATAAATGATAGATAGGCATTTGGATAGACAGACAGACAGACAGACAGACAGACAGACAGACAGACAGACAGACAGACAGACAGACAGACAGCAGATGCTTCTTTGGAGAAAAACAGAGCTCATTTTTTTTGTGTGTGTGTGCGGAAAAAGCAAGAGCTTGAAGTTTCGATAGAAGGAGGTATTTGTTCTCATTGTTTTTAAAATAATCTCCAGTCTAAAAATCATAGTGAAGAAAGAGAGCTTTATATTTTAAAGAAAATGTTTTGAATATAGATGCCATTTAAATCAAACACAAAAACATTGAAAGCTGGGAAAACTGTCAGCCAAGGTTGAAAGGGTCTTCTTTTCTAAACTTGTCACCTCCTGAGATCTCTGAGAAGTGACAGGGTTTTGCATGTGGATACCCTGTCTGAGGTGCTAATTGTCTGCATTCCACATGCCCCAGGCTATTCTGCAGCCCAGGTAGATTAAAAGAATGATGCCAAGGGTGGCCAGTTCTGTAGAGGAGATACGACATTTCAGAATCTTTTCTCTAACCTTTCAAAACTATCTTTGTTCTTCTACTAGCTTATCTAAAAAGTGTGAATTCTCCTGTGACCATGTTATGATGTGGTGAGTTTACACATTCTCTTAGCACTAAAATTTACTTCCTTTACAAAAATAAGAAAAAAAGTCTTTTAAAAAGAGAGAGAACATCCTTTGGTAACACCTAAGTTTATTTATGAGGCTATTTTTTTCTAAATGCCCTCTTCAACATGGAAAACAGACACCCGGTTACTGTGGGTATTTGTTTAAGCCTGTTAAATAGATGATATATTATTCTTCCAGCTGCTCACGGCCTTCTAGTGTATGTCAGATACAATGGTGGTACTTGGATAGAGAGAAGGCAAACACAGTACGTGTCCTCAAGTAGCTCACAAAAGGATGCAAACAGCTACATTCTGGCTCCTGTGTTGAGTGTTTGGTGCCCAGTTGGTGGCACTATTTTGGTAGAGGGTAGAAATGTTAAGTGGTGGGGACTAACTGGAGGAAGTAAGTCTCTGGGCATATACTACTGAAAGGGACATCTAAGTCCAAAGCACGTCCTCTCATGCTCTCTCCTTTCCTCCTCCACATCTCCATCTTCCTCACTCCCTATTTCCAGCCACAAAAAAAGTATATTTCTCCTCCACACCCTCTTCTTTTCCATGATGTTATGCCCCACTGAATCCTCTGAAACCATATGACAAATTATTCCTGACTTAAATTGTTTAAGCCAAGTATTTTGTCAGAACAATACAAAAGTGACTAATACAAGCTATGATAAAGGAGAGGGTGGAGTTCTCACAGCACAGCAATACTACACCTAGTTCAAATTTTATTCTGAATGAATACAACCTACTCGAGGTGACGAAGTCTTTATCTTTCTGTCTGCTCTGTATAATTACTTCCTCTACTTTGCCTCCATCTTGAATTCAAAGCACCCTAATTCTAGCTGAAATAGCATGTCAGTTATGCCTTAGAAAGATCTTGCTTGGATGGTCTGCTGTTCATGTTACCAGAATCTAGATCATCAATTATCCAACCACCCAAAATAATAGTACTCTGAGTCATCTGTTGCTTAAGTGATCTAGCCAGGTTCAATGGCAC